GGAATTTTGATTTCCACCCCTGAAGTCTTCCTTGCACTCTAGAGATAACATCAGCATAATGATCTCTTTTTATTCTTCTATGCCTAACTAAAGATCCCAAGTAGCATCCAAGGTTGCTGACTTTTTTAAATCCACTAACAGTGGTAATGGAATTCATTGTTTCCAGAGAAACATTCTTAGAGAAATATATAAATGACTTCTCCACACGCACACATTGCCCTGACATCTTTGAGAATTTCTCCAAACAGTGGGTGATAGACTCCAACTGAGATAGAGATGCTTCTGCAAAAAGAATAACATCATCTACAAACATTAAGTATGAAATAAGTGGTTCTGACTTACCAACCCTTATTGGAATCCAATTCTTGGATTCCACCTCATCCATAATTAAATGAGCTAATTTCTCCATACACAGGACAAATAGATAGGGGGATAATGGATCCCCCTGTCTAATTCCACGCATAGTATGAAATCCAGGAGTCCTAGCTCCATTCCACAGCACCTCCATATAAGGGCTGGTCACACAACCCGTTATAGCTTCATCTAAATCCTCTGGCAGCTTCACTTCATCCAGCACAGACCTGATGAAGCTCTAATTCAGCTTATCATAAGCCTTTTCTAAATCAATTTTGATAGAGAAAAAACTTTTCCTACCTTTCATTCTATGCATAGCATGGACCAGCTCTTGGGAAATGATGATATTGTCTTGAATATACCTTTTAGGCACAAAGCTAACCTGGTTAAGGGATATAAGGCTCCCCGAGAGAGGTTTAATCTTATTAGCAAGAATTTTGCTGAGGCATTTGTAAATAGAGTTACAAAGGGCTATTGTCCTGAATTGCTTCATAAGACAAGGTCTATCAATTTTGGGGATAAGAGCTAGAAGAGTGTGATTAATTTCCTTGATCAGATCCGGCTGAAGAATATACTTCTGCATGCTTTTAAAAATTTGAGCTTTAAGAAACTCCCAATTTTTTTTGGTAAAACAAAGCAGGGAAGCCATCCGGACCAGGAGCTTTTAAAGGAGCCATTTGAAAGAAGGCAGCTCTCACCTCCTTCAGATCAATATTCAAAGATACCAAGGCCAACTGATCTTCCCTTAATTCTAGCCAAGAGTTATTAGTTTGCAGCCAATCCAGATCTACCACTTCTTCCTTGAAAAGATTAAGATAAAAATTTCTAGCCAAGGCAATAAGATCCTCCTCCCCATTTATCCAGTGACCAGTTTCATCTTGAATCTTTATAATTTTGTTTCTTTTCCTTCGGATTAAGGTACTAGTATGTAAATCTAGTATTTCTGTCTTCATCTCTTATCCAATCCCCCCTAGATTTTTGAAACCAAAGTTGCTCCTCTTGATCAAGAATACCTGAAAGCTCTTTTCTCAGATTAGCTTCCAGCTTCTCAAGCTGCCTGCTATTATTACTGCTACTATGCTTCTGTATCCCATCCAATCTAGCAATTATTCTATTCGTCTTATGATGAATAAATCCAAACACATTTCTATTCCAATCCTTAAGAGCAGGAACACAGGAATTTAAACTATCACACAGATTAGCATCTTGCTTCCAATTAGCTCTTATAAAATTGTTAAATCTAGGATCATACTGCCAAGAGGCAAGGAATCTAAAAGGCCTCTCTCTCTCTCTCTCTCTCTCTCCTGTCTGATTCCTCCTTTTCCATTCTGACAAGAATAGGACAGTGGTCAGAGAAAAGTCTAGGAGAGTTAGAACATCAGCATCTTCAAAAGTGGCTCTCCAATTCTCATTAGCAACTGCTCTGTCAAGTCTCTTAAAGACCCTATTTAAATGAAGGAACTTAGGACTTCTCCATGAATCCATTTCCACCTCTCCCAAATCCATCACAACACAAGCATTCAAGACATTTGTAAATTGGTTACACCTATTGCAATCAACAGGACCTCCTCCTCTCTTCCCCCCTGCACAAGCAATTTCATTAAAGTCTCCTAAAATCAACCATGGTTCATCCATTGTCCTCCCAATCTGTTTCAGATCTTCCCACAGAGTTCTACATTTCCCCTCTTGTGGATTAGCATAAACAGCCATCCAAAAGTATCCCTTCATATCAGCAATCTCAATCCAGCAGTGAATGAATTGATCTTTTTTGAAATGAGAGAAATCATAGCTTCATTAGAATTCCACATAAGCCAAATAGCTCCAGAAAAACCTTGGGCTTCAGCTATAATATAATTAGAGAAACCCAATCTATGAATAATTCTGATAGCTTTTTTCCCACTCACTCTAGGCTCTAGAATAGCAGCCACACCTACCTTGTACTTTATTCGAAATCTACTGAAGGTGCTCTTAAATTTTTTCTTTGCAGCACCTCTACAATTCCATGTGAAAATATTCATGGTAAATTTTGATTTTTTTGCAAGATCACTAAGCTCTTGCTGCTTCCATCATGATTTTCAACCCCTTGGTTCTGACTCCCAGTAAGACCATCACCACAAACAGAATCATAGCTAATATTCATAGCATTATCTAAATTAGCATTAGTGGATAAGTCTACTTCCATACCTGCATTGACATCCTCCAGCTTTATTGACTCTCCCATGATTTGATCCGGAGGCTCAGGTTCTTTCAGAGAATCAACAACAGCCATATCATCAACATAATACTTGTCAGAGATGAGAACAAAATTATCTTTTACTGGATAAGGTTCCCCTGCCCCATTCTCTTCTCCCTCCAAGACATTTTTCTTCTTATCATTTGAGTTATTGCCTGCTCCAAATCTAAGAATAGGTTCTTTAGCAGCTCCTTTGCCTTTTATTAAGGGAGCCTTAACCACATATTTCTTGCAGTTCACCACCAAAGATTTACTCCCACTACTTTTTTTAACAGGATTAGCAGCCACAACTGTAAACAACATTCCAAGAACTGGAGAATCATTTTTGTTACCCGAGGAAATATTTTCCTTGTTCACCATGAGACTTGAAGATGCAGTCATAGTTTGCTTTTCAACTACCCCTTTTAAGGTACTTTTCTATTTACTTACACCAGCCTTCTGACCCACCAAGTTCTTCTTGTTGGAAATAAACCTCCATGCCTTCCCTTACGACATATGTGCATGCCACCTCTTCTTTTCGTGTTTTCTACAAAAGTGCTTCTTTATGCCAGTGAGGTCCAATAGCGCCCTCAACGTGTTGTGGTGGACGCAGGAAAACTTGGGGCACACGTTGGAATCCCTTGTAACAGATCCCGCACACGAAAAATAAAAAGAAATTATCTTAGTGCTTGTTTGGATCCTCTCTTTTTAAGCTAAAAGTTACTTAGAAGCAGAAGCTAGGCCAAACAGGTTTTGAGAAAAGCTCTTATAATGAAAAGCTCTTTTTATAATGAAGAAAAAAATTAAAAGCCAAAAGCTCTTAGGAGGAGTTTGTAAGCTCTTATCTACTTTTTTTGAATTGTGTGCATTTTTTTTAAACAAATAGCTATATATATATATATAGAGAGAGAGAGAGAGAGAGAGAGAGAGTTTTTGAAATATATGTTTTTAAACTAAAAATTGAAGTAGTCACCAAATAACTTTTAGTTTTTCTTTTAAGCTCTTTTTTTAGCTTTAACTTATAAGTAGCTTCTAACTTAAAAAGCGAGGATCTAAACAGGCTCTTAGTAATTGGATCTCAAAAGGAATATATATATATATATATATATATATATATATATATATAGGAGAACGATCCGTTTACAAACTTTTTTTACAAGTTACATTAAGTATGACTGGTCATACACTCTTGATTGAAGTATGACCGGTCGTACTTAGTGTAGTTTGTAAATATAACCTTCTCCACACACACACATATATATATATATATATATATATATATATATATATATATATATATATATATATATATATATATATATATAGGGCTGGATATTCTTACACCAGTGTAAGAGTTATAATTCTTACACTCAATCTTGAGCATCGATCCACTTGTATCTAATGGCTTACATTACTAAAAAATTAGAGCCGTTAGATATAAATGGGATCAATGGTCAAGATTGAGAGTGTAACTTACACTGGTGTAAAATGATCCTGACCCTATATATATATATATATCGGCTGAATTGAATATTTATATAGGGACATAAATATTTTGTCCATCAATGGCGGTTCTCCGGCTAGAGTCTGAGGCTTTGATCCACGGCGACGAAAGTAGGATTAGAGGAGGATTGAAAATAATTTTAACTAGACATTCCATGCCACGCTAATAATAGAGATTATAGATGTTCGGGTCTGGATGGGATAAATTTTGAAGCAAAAATATTTGATCCAATCCCTTTGATTTGATCATATAATTATTTATTCGGTTTAAAATTTTTTAAAAATTCAATCCAATCCACTCCCATTTTATTCGGTTTGAATTGGATCGGTTTTCAATTTTTCGAAAAGCCTAAAACTTTCATCATACAAATCACTAACTATATCAAAATAAAGTCATTAAAAGTTACGTTCACAAAAAAAAAAGTCATTAAAAGTTACAAATCATTGAAAAATTAAAGTCTTCAAACTAAAACAAATCTTAAAACTCATAAAAAGTTAAAATAAATTAATAGACAATAAAAAACTAATACAAGATAATTTGATATTAATAACATCCAAATTCCAAGTCTACAAAACAATAAGATTTCAAGTCATTATCTTTGGTATATAAATAAATACTTAAAACGATATAAAATTATATTATTTAAAATAACAAATACTTTTCTCAATAAAATATCTCTAATTTTTATTTTTTATAGTTCTAAAGTTTTATGATTTACCAATGCATAAAGCCCCGGTCTCGGACTATCTTCCCATCTTTGTGGAGTAGTCCTTAGACCACTGTAACCACAACCCTGAGTGGTTTCGTTCCTTTATTGGGGAGCTCTTAAAAAAAAGTTCTTATTTATTTCATTCAATATTATCTATTACTATTCTTAGATTTCTTGAATTAATGATTTTTGTCGGGTGTTTTTCTAGGAAGAATGAGAACATGCTGGGAAAGTTGGCAATGTTTGGATTGGATGATGCATCAACTGGTAGGACTGGTGGTAGGGTTGGTGGCCAGTTCTTCAGGTCACCGGCGACTCCCGCCGGACCCAAAAGCAAGAATTCAAGGTAAATTTTTATGAGCCCTAGTCAATACCATTGCAATTATTAATTTGTGAAGGCACAATAAGTGTATAGCAGGTAGCTATGTTCTCCATTAATTGGATCATGCTCATCTTTTCAACCATATGTTCTACATTTCATCACGAATTTAATCATTTCATAATGCAATTACATTGTATCGTTTTTCTGAACTAACCAATTTCATTATGATATTTTAATTTGTCTGGTCATTTAGACATCTTCATTAATCATTTCTAGAGGCAAAGATGTCACATGTTTTCCAGTCGAAATTTCAGCTCAAAATCATTTTAAAATTTTCATATAACATAGGGAAAAAATTATATTGGTCGCTAGAAGTATATAGACTATTGATTTTGTTTCATTGGTATAAATACAATGTTTTGGCCGGCCTTCACAGGCTCAACATACTGGGCCAGATATCAAAAGGCCCAGTAGAGATCCTTTTAGATGATACCTCATGAGTGAGCATTAAACTTTATCATATGAGATTTTTATCTCCCTGCACAACTTACTATCTTACACCCATGATGATGAGACAATTTCTCACTCAATAGTAAAGGCAAACGCTAATGTTTTGATTCACCTTTTTCTTCTCTCTCTCGTGATTAGAGAATATTCAATATCCTATATAAACTCCTCGTCACCAACAAAGGAGACACTTGATTTCTATCACATTTATGAGTCATTATGTACTCTATTAGATTTTAGAGCCACCGTACACATCACCCTCTCTTTGCAGCCATCTATGAGACAACACTTGCCGTGACTCTCTTTAAGCTTTGATTTATACCATTACTTCCTTGAGCACCTTCATATCAACCTACTATACCCCTTGAGAGATACAGATCTTGCTCTAAATCCACAACACTTTATATAGTTCATAATAAATCGACTCATTTTTATTCATAATCATCGGAGGATTATATTGGAAAAAAGGAAATTAATCCTTTTTGTATAATACTTGAATGGAACTTTGTTCAATAAAAACATATCACATTACTTGTATGACCATGTGAATAGGGAATATTTCTTATTCTTATAACTTATGTCAATTAGGAGGACCGAGAACAATGTCGAATCTCCAAAGCAGCATCTACTAGTTGGTGGCTATGGTTGTGGCATTGGTGTGCCAATCTTTGGGAGCTGGGGCTGTACTCCATTTTCGTTCTTCGGACCAGGTCCCACTGTAGCAGAATGCATTGGAGAGACTGGAATTAAAACTATACTCTTGTTTATACTTATTGGTTTTGCCGCTGCTGTTATCAGGAAATACTTCATGTCAAGAGAGGAAGATGATGATACAAAGATCGAGTAGCTGAGTGAACCAAACCTTGTGAACAATTTGTTTGACGTATATCGAGATACTATGTTCGAACGAGAATCAATTTGTGCTTTCTAATTTCTGGCTTTGATGGTTGATGGTTGTTGGTTGTTACAAAACCAATATTTATAAATAAAAGTGCAAATAAATTAAGACCATGTTCACTCGGTTCAATTTGTCATTTCCACCAACTTTAGTTTAGTATCTGTTACATTAACGGCGCTTAACTTCTTCGACAACAAAAACAGCTACAGCATATTCGTCGCATATATGCAAACTACGAAGATAACAGAAGATGGGAAAAAAATTAAAATAATGCATTTAAATTAAATAATTACGCATTTAATGTTGTTTTGTAAAAAATTACACATCTGATGCACAATGTGACGCCACTTTTGGGCGTCACAATGGGGCGTCTCTCCCCTTGAGAAGACGCCCCATTGAGGCGTCACATGTGTGCTCTATATATTCCCACACCCCCTCCATTCAATTCACACACCTTCTCTCTCTTCATATCTCTCTTCTCCACCAACATTCATTTATCTTTAATTTAGTATTTGAATTTTATTTCTTATTCTATTTAAAAATGAGCTCAAATCCTGATTCTGTTCGTGTTGTGTTATATTACAGTGGTAAGAAGGTAGAAGGTCGACGATGTGTCATCTTCAAAGGTGAAAAAAGGCCGAGACGTATCCTTTATCATGACGAGCTTAATTTTTTTGCCAACAGAAGATTGCACCCTATTTTGGGCTTGTTTCATTCTGTTTTGTTTATTTTAAATCGTTTTATAAAATCATTTCTTAAAACTTATTTTACGCAAGAAACTGCTGTAATTCAAATTTATAAAACAAATACCGTTTCAATATCATTTCGAAACATATTACCAAAATAATGTTGTCATATATGGGGATGCATATATGAGGCATCTATCACTCAAACTCGTCATTCTCTAACAAGATTGTCAGTAATCAGTATGCTCCTCTTAGGGGTGTGCATGGTTCATTTTTTTTTTTTTTTATATATATATCCAATTGAATTGAACTGGAAAAGTGGTTTGATTCGGGCAAATTGAATCAGTTTTAAAAAGTGACTCAGTTCTTAAACTTATTTGAAGAAAATTATTCGATTCTTAAATCAACTCGAAAATATGTGATGTAGTTCGGTTTAGCTCGTAATTCAATTTGTATCAGTCATTTAGATTTTTTACATTTCTAAAAGTGTATGGTTTCGTTCAGTTTGATTTTTAGTCCAAATTAAATTGATAAAGTGAATCGGTTCAAAAATCTAACTAATTTTTAAAAAATGATATATTTTTTGAACTAATTCGAATAAAATGATTTAATTCTTGAATCAATTAAAAAATATATATTTTTAATACAATTTGAATCGATTTATAATTTGATATTTTTTTTTTGGCAAATGTACTTCTATTATTACTATAGAAGAAAATTTTTGCAGCAACACAAAAAATCAGGATATGCATGCAGATTCTAATTTGTGTTTTTTTTTAATGTCAGGATACGTATGCGAACTCTCACATAAATGTGTTTGCTGTAAAATTTATTTCTTATCTGGAGCAATATGAGAAATGTCGAACCTTTTTTTTCTTTTCACTTCCCAAAATTTGCGTCCGATACCCTACTCGATATAACCATAGAGGTATTATTTTATATTTTAATTCTTAAAAAAAAATTCGCATTCACAATTTCTGTACTTTTTCTGTTTTTCACAATTTTAATAAGGGAAAAAATATAATATTGTAGAAAAAATTTAGGCATGTTATAAAAATAGAAATTTTGGGATCTACACTTGTTTTCAAAAAACAAAACAAAAAAAATTTGATCCCATAATATTTATCTCTATAACATAACTTAACAACTTTTCTACAACATTATTCTTTTATTACCCTTTTAATAATTACAGCGAACCACAGAATCAATTAATCAATTTCACGGCTATTCATCTGTAAATGATTGTTTCAGCATGCGTTCCACTATGGCTTGTGTAGTGGCGGCAAAACACTGCTATAACAGGGTGAACAAAAATCGCATTATAAGAGCTGCATCTGTGCCGTAACGGGCTAGCTCCTCATTGTAACTGTAACAGTGGGTGCACTAAGTTTCGTAACCGGAGAAAGGACGAGACTAACTCCCAACCGAAAAAATTTTGGCTTATCCTCCGGCCCCCAAAGATTTTCCAAGAAACTGCTTGAGGCATGGTTTGATCCCTGCACCAAGCAATCTCTTGAGAGCTCAGCTGCCAACTGAGCTACCCTTGGGGGTTAGTTCTGCTGTGTTTTGAGTGGGTGTGTTTAGTGGCGAGTCTGGCGAGACCCCGTGATGACAAATTGGAAGATATTGACAAATTGGAACTTGAGTAAAAGAGTACATATTTTAAAGTAAAGTTTACGAAAATTTAAGAATTTAATTAAAAAATTGTTAATTTACTTCTTAATTAATAAATAAAAAAGAGATACTAGTAGCACACTCTTCAACACATTGTTTATTATCATATTTTTATTGGGTAAAGTATTTCTTCAGTCACAGAAGATAAGTTATCTTCAATGACCCTTAAAACTATGTCGTTTTAAATTAATGAAGGGTGTTTCCGTAATTTTAAGAAAATTAATGAGGGGTGTTTTGTTAAAATTCATAAAAAAAAATAAACAAAATTATAAAAATATCATTATTAATTCAAAACGACGTAATTTTGGAGGTCACTGAAGATAACTTATATCCAGTGACTGGAGAAATACTTTATCTATTTTTATTACTGGAGAAATTTTATGTGGTCGAATTAAATAATTAAGCTGGATTCATATTATATTTAATGAAATTCATCCAACAATTATATAAAAAAATATGTTGAGAAAGTACGCCCTTTTAATGAATAGACCATTTGATTATTTATTTCAATCTTGTTCTAAATGTTTTTTCATGTTTAATTATTATTCGTAGATGAGGAGGGTTATATTGACAATTTTTTTTTTTTACAAATTATGTTATAGTTTACCAATAAGACTTCACTCAAGAGTATCTTATCAGTAAGACATAATATAGTTTGTAAAATTTGTAAATAAAGTTTGTAAATATAAATTTTTCCTTCATAAATTTATTGATTAAATAATAAATCATGTCATTTTTATAAGCAGAATCGAATTATTTTGCTATATCTCGGATCATAATAACTTCGCAAAGCAATTCTTATGAAACATAGAAATGCTTGGACTTTTACAATAAAATTTGATGAAAAAATAAATAAATTACTTTATCAGAAACAATTAAAATGTATTTTTTGTAACAAATCAGAAGCGTAATACTGTTATTTTCCTTTTTCAATAGTTTCGTGTATCACATTGGTATTAGTATTGAATAAAGCAAAAATATATTTTTTAATCTCTTAACTCTATTCTAAATTTTATTTTCATCTCAAAATTATATATAATATTAGTTATTAATTACTACAAATTCGATGAATTTTAAAAATATTAGGACATAAATAAAATCATACAATTGCTGGATGAAAATAAAATATTAATTAAGGGATTAATTTTTGTTGGACATATTTTATGCACCATTTACAATTTTGTTGGTAAATATGCACCATTTATATTTTTAATATCTATATTCACAGTTATATATAGGAGGTGATCAATTTATGCCTATGTAAATAATATATCTAATTTTAGTTATTAATTTCACATATATAAATATTTAATGGTTCTATTTTATTAATTAATTATGCGAGTCATTAAATTTATGTATGATCAACAACTAAGATTAAGTGTATGTCTTTTTATTCATACATTAATGGTATAAGTTGATCATATATATTATATACATAATTACTGTAAACAATTTTTTGTTTGCTTTAGATTTTTCAAAAGTGAGAAGGAAATTAATTTTATTGAATCACATAAGTGTTATACATTAATTTACATGCTAAATATTGTTTTTTTTATAGTTTGGCGCTGAATAAAAATGTTATTTTTAAATTTTTATAAATAGTGTTCATGCTCAGCATGAAACAAGTAAGCAATTACCATATAGGTTATAATGTTTATCAGCATAAAAATAAAGAAAAAAAATCATGGGTATACAGAAAATCAGAATCAAATTTCGGACAGAAAATTTTGGTAGATGGAAAATTATCGTGCATAAGCATAGCCATCCCACAAAAGCTTCTCCAGCAATTCCCACACTCTACTAACCCATAAGCGCAACTGCGCAAGTTCAAGGCTGTTATAATGTCAGTTATTGTAAAACCATCTCCTGTTACTCACAAGATGACCGACAACGAGAAAAAAATTAGGTAGTGCCAAAAGATTCAGCCAGTAGATTTAGGTGGTGTCAAAGTTGTATTGTTTTTAAAAATCCAACTAATATATAGGTTATATCAAAAAAAAAATAAGAAAATCTATACCATTTTAAAAAATTAGCACCACCTACCTGGTTTCGCCACTGACGATATCCAAGGTATGAACACTATCAAATAATTAAAGTGTAGTTATTACTTATTAAAATCGGACCGACCCAGTCGGGTCGATCCGGGAATCGGTAAATTGGTCATATAACCGGTCCGGTTGAAGTAACGAACCGGTCATGCATCAGAACCGATGCGACCCGGCCGGTTTTCATAAAAAACTGGTGACCCGGTCGATTAACTGGTGACCCGGCCCGGTCCACAAAAAAAATCAAAATCTTTGTTTTTTTCAAAAAAAATCATAATAGTCATATTTGAATTTTTTTTGCTTATTGACTTACATAAGTTATGTACCTACAACACTAATATTATCTTAATTGTGTACTATGCATAAAATTTTGAATTTATTTATAGTTAGATATGTCATTTTTTGAACCTAAAGCTCCGTATCACGATCATTATATTTTTGTTTGATTTTTTATTTGATAATAATATGTGATTTATTATTTTTTGTATTAAAATATTTGAAATTTTTTATATTTTTTTAGATATTTGAGTATGTTTATAATTTTTTAATATAAATTATAAAATTACATATAATTACCGGATCATGCGGTTGAACCAGTGACCCACTGGTTGAACCAGTGATCCGATACCTCGACCAGGTCAATGACCAGGCCGGTTTTAATAACATTGATTACTTCACTTGTTTATTCATGGTTATTGATTTATTATCGGTCTAATAGATACAAAAATGTATAAAATAATTAATTAAATCTTACCTAATACTTTAAAATTTTTGAGTTGAAATAATATTTATTATGGTAGTAGGGTGCCCCCAAACAAAATTTAAAAATTGTTCATGATTGGCATAAGAACTGGTGTAACATGGGGAACAAAAATACTGACTCTAAACAGTTCAATGAAGCACTTATGCCACTGAAGTACTCCCACATTCGACAAAGAGGGAGGAGTGAAACCAGCCTTTCCAGTCTATTTAAAATAATAGTTTCATTTTTATTATGTTATAAAAAATAAATTTATCTCCTATACACATAAAAATATGTGAGACTCATGTGAAAAGAAAAAAGAGAAAAAAAAATCATTAACCCCACACATTTATATATATATAATAAAATTATATCTTATATCATAAGAAATAATAATCCGTTAAAATAATTGAAATCAAAAAAGCAAGTTAAACGATCTGAGATTTGAAAAGGAAAAAAGAATTTGGCTCACCCCCAAATTAAGAGGTCATAAATTTAATTCTCACTGAACTCTCCACTTTGAAGTGAAATTAAGAAAAGCAGTAAATCAAAAAATGAACATGTGCAGCACAAGATATATAAAACAAAGAATAGCTCCATACTATATCCATGCTTCAAACCCACAAGTGAGGGAGCATATTAGAAAAATGCAAAATAATTAATTAAATTCAGTTAGTACCTTAAGTTTTGGGTTAAAGTTACACTTATAAGTTATAATTATCTTTTTTGAATTGCAAGACTTTCTTCTTTTGTACTTGGAGTTTTCAATAGTATTACTTTTACATTAAACTTTTCACAGTATTATTACACCAATCATCAATAATTCAATTATTAAATGTATATTAATTGGTCACAGACCTAACAATCTGTATCCAACTAAAGGGCAACATATCACTAGTTCCACAACCTATCTATAATCAATAATTGAACCAGAGGAATATTATTCTTATAACTTAAAAATTTTACATTTTATAATATATTTTTTTATCGTTGATTTTTGTCAATTTAACGATTTTAATTTATTGGGTCGTATTTTTAATTAATTATTAATTTTCAATAAATTATAACTATTGAATTGACGAAAATCAACGATGAAAAAATAAATTATAAATAATTATAAAACATATAAATTGTAAGAATAACACTCCTCTTGTTAATATCTGTAAAAATAGTTCCACGACATATTACTAAGTGAATCATTGGACCGGTGGCCAGTTCTTTCAGGTCACCGGCTCTTCACTCCAAACCAAGAGTCAGTAAAAAATCAAGGTAAATTATAATCTATACTGATGCAATTATTAATTTGTGAGGGTACAACATAAGTCTTAGCAGATAGCTATCTACTTAATTGAATCATGCCTATTTTTTCAGCCATGTCGTGATTTGATCATAAATCTAGTCACTTCATTATGATATTATATATATCGTTTTTCTGAATCTATATCTAAATTTAATCATTTCACTTTGCAGTTTTGATTTGTCTTGAGATATATAGTCTCACATTGATTAGATGGACAACTAATATGGCCTTTATAAGGTCTTGGGCACTCCCACCCTTTGAGCTAACTTTTGGGGTGGTGACCTCAAGGTTCTTTACATGGTATCAGAGCCTCACCGTCTCCCGCTTTAGAGTGGAATTAAAATAAAAAGCATAAAATGGTAAACCAAAAATTAGGCCTGTGCAATTCCACGCTTCTTGGCCAAAGGGCTCTTGCGTGAGGGGACGTGTTGAGATATATAGTCCCACATTGATTAGATGGACAACTAATATGGCATTTATAAGGCCTTGGACACTCCCACTCTTTGAGCTAGCTTTTGGGGTGGTGACTTCAAGGTTGTTTACAATTTGTCTGGTCATGTCTTATGATAAAGAAAGTTCTTTTCTCCCGTGAGAGTTTAGATGTCACGTGTTTTCCCATGGAAACTTCAGCTCAATTTCATTTGAACTCTTCCATATAACAAAAGCAAAGTTTTACTTATCGTTGGAAATACATCGACCTATTACATTTTGACTTATAAGTTTATAATTCATAATAAATTGACTCTTTTTAATTTGACATTGTTGTGCGAAATATCTTCTTTGCAAAAATTCAAAATTCAAAATAATGTATAATCAACCTCAATCCTATCCTTCCATTTCGAGGAGTATTATGCACCACGATTTACCCGAATGATCATATTAGAAGAAAATAAATTAATCTTGTATCATACATGAATAGAATTTTTGCTCAGGAAAATCCATATCACATTACTTGTACTGTTTTATTAATCTCATGTTAAAGGAGATAAGTTATATCATGTCATAGAAATAAACTTGTGGGCTCCATTATCTGAAAAATAAAAAGAAAAGAAAAGAAAAAATGGCACAGTTATCAAAGAGTGTGTAGGAGAGAAATTTATCACATATAAAATAAGAGTAGTTTTTCTCTTACTTGTACGACCATATGCATAAGACAATAGGTAATATTTCATCTGTATATCATTTTGGGAATTCTTATATTTGTGAAACTTGTTTCAATTCACAGGACCAATATTAATGTCAATCCTCCAGTGACCCCTCCGCTTGTTGGCAACTATAGTATTGGTGTGCTTGCACTATACTATTGTTTATATTTCTTTGTGCTGCTGCTGCATTTGTGAAGAGATATTTCATGTCAAGTAATGAAGATGACTACTAGCGTTACAAAAAGCTTTTCAAGGCTGGGAGATAATGATACATAAGATTGAGCATCAGAGTGAACATTTTGACCCGTACTTTGAGATATTATGCTTGAAAGAGTAGCAATTTGTAGTTTGTAATTACTGGTTTAGATGGTTTTTAGGCAAAACAAAGAGTTTGAGCATAGTCAACAAGATAGCAATAAAGCAATAAATAAAGGGTTCTATAAGAGTTATATTGTAGGAAAAGTGATTCTGTAATATTATAGAAATTCGTTTTGCGTGCCGTAATTTTCTTTTTTTCTTTTTTCTTCAAAAAGGTGTGGGCTCCACAAAACGTTGTGTGTGTAAGAAAGTTTGTTGTGTCATGTTAAATGACAAATGCAAACCCCATAAATAAAATAACATTATGTTCAGTATGTGCAAGGTGTCATTTTCATTAATTTTAGTTTAGCGTATGTTACACAATCGGCTGTTAACTCCTTTGATATAAAACTCGTTTAAGGACAATGGCATATACTATACATCGCATAAATGCAAACTAAAATGAATAAAAGTAAACAGAAGATCTGACACAATCAAATTCACAGCTTTTCAACTTATTAATGATTGTTTAAGCCAAACCAACCTGATGCAAATTAGATCTAAACGTAAGCTGTATCCATAGTTAACGTTTGCCTTCTCTTCATGGCTCTTACCTCATGTAGCCTGCAGATTTGTTGTGGTATTTTCTTCTGTATTTCTGTGGATTTAACAAACTAATCAAACTCCTAAGAAGCAGCCAGAAAAATCTAAGGTTGTGGGGCATCAGAACCATAAGCAGGTAGATGAGCACCCGAGTTCAAACTTCTGCCATAAGGCCAATGCAGAAAACACCTTCCCATGACGCTGTTAAATGCATGTTTTGTTTATAGCTTAAATTCAAGGGAATAATTTATTTTGTCTCTTTTTTTCAAAAGCTCTCCCACTAGGATTTTGATTGAGTTATTTTGACCATATAATAAGATAATCCAAACATATCCTAAAGTCAAGAAAACTGGTACAACTTTACAATGAACTGCTGAGAGTGATATAAGGAATGTTAATACTTCTTTTCACCTGCTAGAATAAAATCTTCTGAAGTAAAGGGAGGAGGCAAACGTCAAATCCTATATAACTGAGTAATTTTGATACTGAATTTTTTTTCTCCTCAGAATTATACATGTTCTTTCTATTGATTGGTTCAATTTCATTTACAGAAAAGTCAAAATATATAAGAACTTGTATGTTACATCAATCTATTAGCTGCACAGCCGCAATAGAAGGTATCTTGTCTCTCAACTTCTGTGTTAAGGCAACACGAACTGTCATAACCCCAGCTGCTGGTCCACTTAGCCGAACTTTGACAACATAATCATTGATTTGAACAAGCTCTAATATTCCTCCCCCAGTGCCAACAAGGTATGGTCTAATTTCAGAAAGAACCTGAATATTGAACAATATAAGATTTCTAATCTATAAATGAAGCAAAAGCAAGTTGTCACTTACCAACATGAATCCTACAGCTTACAGATACATGTCTACATTTGTTATAGAGAGAATTTTTACAAATATATTAACCACAAGAAATAGTTGGCATGGAAGATAATTTAAGCATTTATCTTCTGTTCAAGGTAAAAAAATGTTTATGCCACTATCTGAATGATTGAAGAAATGACAGAAGCTTTCTGGCCTCAGTAAACAAGGAATATTCATCATGGATTTGCATAGTACACCAATCACTCTTTGTCAAGTTGATAAGTATGATGCATGAAACTTAAAAGAAAAAACTTTTTAATCAGAAGTTATAGTCCTATGATCAAATATTTACAATTTGTAATTAGTCCATCTACATGATGCAGAACAAGTGTCTAGCAGATCAATTAGCTTTTACACCTTAATTTAAAATCCAAAAGACCGTGATGATGCATAATACCAATGAAATTATGGAAATGCTAGATATGATGCATAAAGTTCCATACACTTTCAACATTTTCTTCAGTTAACTCAAGACCAGTCTCAGTATCAAGTATCTGCTCCACTTCCATGATTTCTGGAATCTTATCCCGGAGGCGAGTTTCAATTCCCATCTTTAATGTCATAGTTGAGCTAGGACATGAACCACATGCTCCTTGTAACTTGAGGACAACAACAAGGCCATCTATCTCATGTAAAGCCACATTCCCTCCATCAGCCATCAAACCAGGCCTTACCTCATCCAAAACCTTCTCTACATTCTCTTCTGTCAGTGGCAGGACACAGCTTGGAGAAACAACAACTCCTGCAACATTGGAATGTGAGTGCTACAAGAAACTACTTTCTCAAATCCTTTTCAAGCTACTTAAATATATGATTGAAACTATAATGAAGTTTCGTAATGAAAAAATGTTGCTCACACTTTCAACTATCATTTCTTTTCTCATCTGGAAAATTCAATTTTCATTTCAATAATTCACACTAATCAATATCAGATAAGCAAATGACACTTAACGCTATAAATTTGCATGCAAACATTGATGTAAAATAGTAGTACTCATTTTCATCGGAGAAAAGACTAGGCATGATGTTAGTGTAATAATCAATACAATTATATTCAAATTCATGAAGCTCTTGAAGAGTGCATTGACAGCACAGTAGCACCTGCTTTGTTTCGTGGAGCACGCCTTGAGATAAGCCCAAAAAATTGCTTGATGTTGATTTGGTGGCCTCTGAAAAAACAATTCTCCTTTGACGAAAATCCTCTTGTACTTGATACTGGGATCTACAATAAACAAGCACAAAAATTTGAGTCACATAAAGATTTAAAAGAGTTTACACGTATCCATTACCAAACTAAAGAATCATAATATAAATAAATAAATATGAAACAATAAGAAAAACAAAGTAGAAAGTACCTTAAAGAGACAAAAACTGGTAGACAATAATCTATGAGTTGGACAAAGCATTGCAATTGTTCTTGTTGCCTTGAGTTTTTGAGTTGTTGGGGTTGACAGTGCACCACCCAACATCTGAGAGTAAGTGGGAAACCCAGTTCCAGAAAGCTACCATAAGAATGAACAACAAGTGAAACTGAATTTTTGGATTATGTAAAATATTCTCTCATTTTTGGTTTCTGGATGAAGTTCAATTCTGATATTTTGAGCGTGCTGATAATAGCAAGCGTTTCTTGATTGGCTGACATAGATTGTTTATGATGATAAAGAAAATAATAATAGAGTCTCAAGTTTGTGGACAGAACTCAAACAAGAAGCCACAATGCAACCCTGTGATAGTTAGATTGGTTATTAGATGAGTTTTGGGCTTAGACATAAACTTAATAGAAGTGAAATCTGTTGAACCAGTTACTCTTTTTCCTTTTTCTGTGTAAGCCCAATGGTTTCACTTTGGAGGGTGAATGTATAAATTGCAAGGTTGAGGTCTGTTTAGTGGAATACACCAAAACAAAGAGGTTTTGTTTTGCAAGGATTGTTTTAGGCCCATGAAAACTTTATTGGGTCATTTACTTTGAAGCCTAATTTCTGCTCCCTTTTTTTTAAGCTTTACATTTTACAAATCATCATTAATACGGTGTATTTCTCTTAAATTTAATGGGAAAAAATGATCACAATGGTAAAAACCCTGTTATATGATTAATGAAACTGAAACTTCATTTAAGCATAGTACAAACGAATAAATGGTAATGGTAAGAATAATATTAACGGTAATTATAAAAGAAGCAATTAAAGTCCAATGATTAATGCATATTTTCTTTGGGAGAATAGCTCTCCTAAGTCTATTCTCTTGTGTCATGTGACTAAAAAAGAAGTTATTTAAAAAAAAAAAAAAAATGGTGGATCTCACTATGCTTTTATGTCTACTGGAAACCGAAAAATCTTCCGTGCTTGAGAGACTCAAAGCCCATTTTCTTTAGAAAGGATATGGGAGTTAAGACCAAAATGGATTAGTTAGAATGAGTAATAAACAAACCAATAAAAATGGGTTAGAGGTGAGGGATTAATTTTGATAATGATAGTTAGTGGTGGAGTGATAAGGGGGTTAGCGGGGTGTTTGCCTCCCTTTAAAATCATATAAACCTTTAGAAGTGAGTATTATTTTTAATTATTTGGTCATATATCTAATACTAGCCTCCTTTCAAAATCTACAGAAATCTTTAATTATTAGCATCATTTCTAACTTTTTTAATCATATAAATAATTATAACTTCAAAGGAAAAATTACATAATAATTTGGCCGCTTAATTTTTTTTTGTCTAACTCCGCCATTGATGATAGTCATAAATGTCATTCTGTTTTGTTTTTATTTATTTATTTATATATATGCCTGTTGTGTGTGTGAACGACCTGGGCTGTGGCGCACTTAGCCACAAGGTCATTTCCAAGTAGCCACTCACTACTTTTCATTTCCTCTGGCACTTGGGTTTGCCGTATATATCAACCAACCAACCATGGGAAGTGAAATGAATGAAATGCAACCAAACCATGCATTTCCTCCAAAGCACAATCACAGGCCCACCCTCTATACCTGATTGTAAGTTAATCTTAAGTCAGGCAACATGACTTCTAACATGTATATCTTTTTGACCAAGTAAAAAAGCAACCTTATCCTATCCGACCGAAAGAGAAGTTTTTCCCCACCCCCTTTTTTCATCTTAGTTTTCTAAATCAATAATGTAACGCATCACAATTGTTTTTTAATCCTAATGTGATTTTAGTCTTTGATATTGCATAGTGGAAGAAAAGGGAAGACATGACCAGACAGCAATATAGAGATTTTTCTTTGTTTGTCTCTCTACTTGTCTTTCTTCTTTGAAATTTTTAAAATTTCAAATTTTCATGGCATGATCTAGATCATTGCATGTATGTGTGCATACAATTTCTTTCATGCAGTTGTTTGAAAAAAACTTCAACAGCTAACCCATTTAATTTTAGCCTTAAAACATCTATCACCCAGTACTAGTGAAACTAAGTCCAATAATAATAACAATAATAATATATTTAAGGCTTGAATGTTTCTAAAGTGAATGTAGATAAATTATCTACATTCGTTCTTAAATCGACGTCATTTTAGGTTGAAAAATTAAAAAATTATAATGAAAAAGATTATTATAACCTTAAAATAAATTATATTATAAAAATATCTTGATTTCCGTCTCAAAACAACGTTGTTTTGAACTTAATGTAAATAAATTATCTATGTTGACCGTAGAAAAAAGTAACTCTGTATTTAAAAGATATTTTACTTCTATCTTTATCAAGAGCAACCTGTGTAAACATTCCTTTCCCCTTTAAACTCATTGGATCATATATTGACCAAACACGTGGACAGATTGCTTCGAGAAATTTTATTTTCTTAACTCTGAATTAAACAGATTCCTCCTAGGAACAAAAGAACCATGCAATAAAAATTTCAGATTCTTGTCTGTTGTTTCCTCATTTCTGAATCACAATCAAATCCTAACTCAATGCTTCCTCCATGTGATGCTAAAACAACACCAACTATTGTGGATCTTTGGTGGTCCAATACGAGTATTATTCAAAAAAAGAGAGAGTAATATTTCACTCCCTCCCAACCAAAATAAAGAACGCCTATTATTTCTAACACAAAGAAAGCAAGAGATGTAGGTGCACGCATGGCATGATCGACCCGAATAGGATTTTGGGCTGAATTGAACCGGTTTGAATTGGTTTAATTCAGAATTAGTTTCGAATCGATTTATGTTTTAAAATCAGTTCAAATTTCAAAACCGATTGAGATATGCAAACTCATTTCGAATTGGTTTTGAACCATTTTCGAATCGGTTCCAAACCAATTTTTGAACTAATTCTTTTGGTTCGGTTTAAATTTTTAAACTGGTTTCTAAAATCAATTAAGGTTCTCAAGATTGATACTTTCGTCTACTTTAATTTGCGCATCCCTACTTGGCATGGCTTTAGGAGTTTAGGGCAAGCAATAACCTTTTCCCATGGAATTTTCTAGTAGGTAGAATGTAAATGAAATGATCAGAGCCAATAAATTTATTTTAAAATTAAGAAAATGTTAGAGCCAGTCTGTGAAAGAAAAGAGTGCCGTTGTATTGTAACATGTACAACGACTTTGTACCTGATTTGATATTTAATGACACAATGAAGAATGAAAACGAAAGCTATATTATTGTACAGAATAATTTTGACAACAATAATTGAGGAGGGTTTAAAAAAGATTAAGGAGGAGAGAAGAATAATATCAATGTAAGCACCACAATAACATAGAGATGAGGATATTGTTATAAATAATGGACATAGGGTATTGGATCCAAAAAAGATAAGCCTTCTTCCCAAAATGGAGAGATTCCTTTTGTCCTTTAAATATCCATATAACATTTTTATGTTCTTATTTTAATCTTTTTTGGGTGGGGAAGTCTTCCTCCGAATCTGATGCATTGAATGTGGGAGCTGAATTGGATGCAAACTTTTCTTTCCCTCTTCTATTTTTAAGAATCGTGATTATTTTTTATCTATGTTCCTTGATGAACCAACCTGTGGGATTCCCCTTCCCTCTCTGTCTCTCTCTTTTTTTTTTAATAAATTATTATTTTTAGGTGGCCCTGTATTCACATGAACTATGTGTCACAATATATGAGTCAAAAAAACACAAAAACTACGTTGCTTTTCTTTGTCATAGAGATTTAGACACCACAAAATTTGTTGAGATATATAGTCCCATATTGGTTGTATGTGCAACTAATGTGGAGTTTATAAGGCCTTGGGCACTCCCACCCTTTGAGCTACATGGTATCTACATGGTATCAAGAGCCTAAGGAACTTTGAATTTTTTTTTTCGGTGAACCCACTGTTCATCGTCTTTTAATTTTTTTTTTTCCGGAGCTGTCACACCGTCAGTTTCTGGTACGTTTTCTTTCGCGTTTAAAGCTTCTGTCTACGTCAACCACCACCGTCCGGTGGAGTTTTCCGACGAACTGTATACCGACGTGCTCGTCTTGGAAGCACGAACTCAACGGCACCGGCCACACCCTCAACGGACCTCTCACACGCGCGTGCAAGATCCGATCTTCTCCTCCACCAAGGCGGCGCGTGGGACCTCCTCTCCGGCCGTGGCTGGTTGCGTTCTTTTCGTCTCCCTGTGACGGTTCTGGATCTGGTCCTGGTTCTTTGTTTGGACTTCGTTTTGTGTTGACGTCAGATCCCTCTTCTACCGATTAGTTGTGTGATCTGTCCTTTTTTGATTATTTTTTTTCTCTTAATTATGGACCCTCCTGTCTCCAATGACTCTGGTACTCCGGCTGAGAAAAAGTCGGACTCTGCTATTTTTTTAAATTATATCCTTGCTCCGTTGAGTGTGGATAAATTGGATGGTTCCAACTATGATACTTGGTCTTTCGATCTGCGACTTGGGTTGGATGGGCAGAATTATACATCCCATCTCACCACTAAGGCTGAATCTGTGGCGGAAAAGGAGCGCACACGGTAGAAAATGATTGATGCTCAGCTGTGTAGCCTCATTAAAGCTACTCTTCATCCGTCTGAGAAGCTATTTGGAGTCAGGCAAAAGCATTTGTGACTTGGTGGTCTGAGAAGCAAACATCAGGTCCTACTGCATCCATTGCTCCCACCGGTAATTCTGGTAATTCTTTTGCTAGCATATCTTAGTTGCACTCTATTGGCCCTTGGACTCTGGATTCTGGGGCTTCTGATCACATTTCTGGTAATAAGTCCTTATTCACTTCCCTTTGTACTACTGGTTCTTTTCCCACTATTACTATGGCTAACGGGTCTCTGGTCCAATCAAGGGGGATTGGCACGGTTCTTCTTTTACCTAATTTATCTCTGGACCATGTTCTATATGTTCCCGATTCTCCTTTTAACTTACTTTCTGTTAGTCGGTTGACCAAATCCATTGACTGTGTTGTTTCTTTTACTAAAACCTCTGTCATATTTCAGGATCGGAGTTCGGGGAAGGAGATTACCAAAGGATGTGAGTCCCAGGGCCTCTATCAACTAGTTCCCTCTTCTTCAGCCTGCTCCACTGTGGATTCTCCTCTTACTATCCATGCTCGTCTGGGCCATCCTAGTCTTGCAAAGCTTCAGAAGATGGTTCCCCATTTATCATCTCTTTCTACTTTAAATTGTGAGTCTTGTCAGTTTGGGAAACATACCCGTAGTACGTTTCCGAGTCGTCTTAATCGTCAAGCTGCTTCT